AGTTAAGCACTTCAATTATCTGGGAATCACATTTAAAAATAATATGAATTGGAATACACATATATGTGCTGCAATAGTTAAGGCCAAAGTGACAGCCCACCATATTAAATCCTACTTTTGTTCTCCAGTAGGAAACAGATTTATTCCAGCTGTATTGCAAGTGATTGACATGAAACTTTGTGCCCAACTTCTATACGGCACACCAGTGTGGATTTCAGGTGACCTCAAGAGGTTGGATAAATTCCACGCATCCCTTCTGAGGTCATTATTAGGACTTGCAAGCTCTGTAAAATATGAAACAATATGTTGTGAGCTGGGAATATTGCCTTTATCAGTAAGAGCATGGTTGAGGACCTTGAAATATTGGATCTTCCTCCATTATAGAGCCCTATCCCCTAATTCTCTACTTTACGATCTTTTAAGTGATAGTGCAATCTACAATCTATCATTGATTTGTAGGAGAAAACTGGATTCGATAGGGCTCACTCTAATTGACTTTGAAATCTCTGATCCCAAAGACATATGGGAAATTATCAGGAAGACTCTTACAGAAAAAGTGTTCTCGCCAGGCGTGTGGCTGAAAAGCACAGCACTTGCTCTCCTAACCACTTAACTCTCCCTTTGTGAATAGATTTCCAAAAGGGATACATGACAAATCTGAAGAAACATGAATTGTGTAGGCTGTTTATGTTGGCCAGATTCAACATGTTTCCCTCGGTGGTAGTGAGAGGAAGATACTTAGCTATCCCAGAATCAGAGCGTCTCTGCAAATGCAGAAAACAGGAACCCGATACTCTAGAGCATATATTCTTTTCCTGTGATTTTGGTAGTTATGCCAGAAAACAATTATTTGAGGCCCTAAAAGTTAATAGACAGATTTTTACACAACCAACTGTTCAGGACCTGCTGGCGGACAGCGATGATCAAATTACTTTAATAGCGGCTGAATTTTTAAGTGCTGTCCATGAAGAAAGAATGGGCCATGATAAAGAGACTTAGTGGTTTTTAATGGTAGGTGATGTTGTTGTGTTGTATTATATTATCTATGTACATCGATTTATTTCTTGGAGTTAAGAATAGGACTGGGATAAATTGTGTTCGCTGAGCCCGTATTTTATACAGTCTGTATATGATGTTTGTTTGTTAGTGTGTGGTGTGCTATGCCTAATAAAGGATGATGATGATGAAGTACTTAACCCGAGGTACCACTGTATATTAAATGGGTACAAATGTCCAAATGTGCTCAGCAGGGGAGACATTTACGACAGTAATTTGATTAGTTTACAATTACAGTCCAATAATTGCCTCCTTAAAACAATGCGACATTACAATACAATTACTAATACCAATCTTTAAGATATCAAATTACCGTAGTTTTCGCCCCATAGGGCGCACCGGCCCATAGGGCGCACCTAGTTTTTTGGGGGGGAAATAAAGAAAAAAAAATCCCCCCCCCAAGGTGCGGGGCTGGGGCGGGGGAAGCCTGAGCTTCCCCCAACCCCAGCCCCCAGAACAGGCTACTATCCACAAGCCTAGGGAGCCTGCGGGAAGTCACGCCCGTCTCCCCAGGATTGTGGATATCTGCCCGAAGGCTTCGGGATGCAGGCATCTCTCTTCGGGATGCAGGCAACTCCGCAAACCAGGTCGGGGAACAGCGGGATGGCGGCGCTCTGCCTCCCCGTTGTCCCCCAAGCTTGTGGGGCTGCCTGATATCTGCTGTGCAGGCTTCGGGATGAAGGCTGCTATCTGCAAGCCTTGGGAGCCCGACGGGAACTCCCGTGGAGCTCCCAAGGCTTGCGGATAGCTTCCTGAAGCCTGGAGAGCGAGAGGGGTCCGTGTGCACCGACCCCTCTCACTCTCCAGGCTTCAGCGAAAGCCTGCATTCGCCCCATAGGACGCACACACATTTCCCCTTCATTTTTGGAGGGGGAAAAAGTGTGTCCTATAGGGCGAAAAATATGGTATATAATATAGGTGGCCCCCCGCATGCTAAAACCGATGGTTTGATGATTTTCTTGATTTCTGTATTCCAAAATCTTATTAATTTCAATTACACTCCTGTCAAGATAACAATCCTTTATACAACAGCTGCAGTATTAATGACTTCCATTCGTATTGAAACATCAAATAATATATAAAACTACAAGTGAGGCACTCCAGCGATATGCTTACTCTTCCCATGTGTGGCAATCTTTCTGTTCGTGATGTTATTTCCTGTCCTTGTAAAATGTTTTATCTTTTCCTGGTTGTTGCTGTTCTCCATCATTCCTTGGGCGGAGCTAATACCCCATTGTGGTTTCAGAAATTCTCCATCGCTCTGTCCTGTGCTTCGTTGTTTGGCAACTTTAACAGCAGCTGCAAAAATCACACTATCCCAATAAATAATCAGTTTTTGCCATTTTTCTTCTCCGCCTGGGAAGGAGAGGGATCCGTCAAACTGCAAATGACTCAGTAATGAACCTTATCAGCTCCCTCACAACTTTCAGATTCCTTACATCCCTCTGTCTGGCCTAAGATAAATGCACGTTTATCCAATTAAATTAAATTCCAAGTCCTTTTAGCATTAATCAGTTCAGTCTGTATATAATACAGGATGGGGAAGAGTCAGCTCTAATTTTCCATCGTAAACATTTTGCAAAATAGAGCTTCCCTCCCTTTTTCCTTTTTGTTTTTACACACACAGTTCCATTTGATGTAATATTCCATATCTGCAATCCAGTTTCATCCCTGCTCACCTGTACATATATATTTTGAACTAGTATTCAATGGCGGGCTGCCAAATCATAAATGTAGAGAAGAAAACTTTATATAAAGAAGCCATAGGCTCCCCTCCCCCACTCACTGTCTTTTGCACCAAATGAAGTCTTCTCTCAGATTCAAACCTTAAAGACCTTGCAGCTGGTTCAATTCCGCAGTTTATGAGCTCATCTCTTCTAGCAACGCTTGTACATTAGTCCAAATTGAGCTCTGATTGACAGGAGAACCTCTGCTTCTTAATGGCAGCAAAGGAGGGTTTTCGGCAGGCAAAGGGCTTTTGCACTCAGCGCCTTCCTGCCTCTCGCAATCCATGCCGGAGCCGGAGCCTGGTACCGAGACAAACTGGGAGTGAAGCCCGTTCCCCCCTGTCCCTGGGGGAAACTTGCAAGGAGAATTACCCTCAGTCATCCTTGTTTTTCCTTTGCCAACAATCTCCCGCTGCCTCCATTAAGTCAGAGCGGAACCGGAAGCTAGCAGGGGAGACTTGGACAAGCCCCATCTGTATTTAGAGATGCACTGTTTCACCTCTGAGAGAAGCAGGCGCTCACGGTTTCCACTTACCTTGGTCTCTCCCAGGTGACAGAATGATGCCACCAAGATCTGCTCCTTCATCTTTTCATGGTGGTGGAGGGGAGGCAGCAGCTGTGGACCCAGATCAGGTAGGGGGAAGGAGCCTTGTGGGGAAGGACTGCTTGGATGCAGACTGGCTGGACACAGTTGGATGCAGAGGAATGGTGGGAGGAGCCAGAGAAGAGGGAGCCGACTGGGAGGAGGAGGAGGAGGGGTCTGAAGCTGGAGAGGGAAGAGGGCTCAGGGAGCAGAGGGAGTCTGTGGCAGAGAGCAGCCCAGACTCCGAGGCAGAAGCTGCAGCAGGAGAGAGGGATGAGGAAGGCAGAGAGGGGTCTGGCCGCTGTAGAAAACAACAGAGCCAAGTGAATGTTCTCTAAGAGGACAGCCTTTTTCCTGTTCTGTTAGGGTCCAGTGTGCTTTGAAGATGTGGCTGTCCATTTCACAGACGAGGAGTGGGCGTTGCTGGATCCTGACCAGAGAGCTCTCCATAAGGAAGTCATGGAGGAGAATCGTGGGATCTTGGACTCTCTCGGTAAGGCTCCCTATTGGATCATCCTATCTGTTTTGTAATTCAAGACATCTCTCTATGTGATGAACTCTGATATTTTGATAGGGCTCAACAGCGCCACTCACAGCACCTGGGATGTTAACACTCCCACAGCAAACCTTGGAGGGATGGCTATTGATTGTGTTCCCTGTGAATATTCTTCTTTCAGTTCTGCTGTTTAAAACCATGATCAGGCTATCTGAACTGCCCAGGCCTTCTTAAATGTAGGGTTCAGAGTGATTTGGTGTTTTGAAGTAGCTTCATTCAAGTTTCCTGCTTTTGTTCTTGCTTGTGTCTCTCTCTGGTTGACCAAAGAGTCGCTTGACATTGGAGATGGCACAGATTCCACGACTGAACCAAACAAACTCCATCCCAAAACAGATCCAGGCTTTTTGAATCTCAGGCAGTGAACCCTGTAGTAACAATAATGATAATATTATTATTTTTACCCTGCCCATCTGACTGGGTTGCCCCAGCCAACAAATAGAAAAACATAATCAAACATCAAACATTAAAAACTTCCCAATACAGAGGTGCCTTCAGAAGTCCTCTAAAAGTTGCATAGTTATTTCCTTGACATCTGATGGGGGGGCGTTCCACAGGGTGGGTTCCCCTATCGAGAAGGCCCCCTGCCTCGTCCCCTGTAACTTCTCACAATAATGTAACATTTAAGTAAGGAAACTTGAATAATAATAACAATAATGCTGATATGACAAGTTTCTGCTGCATTCTGTGATGTCAAGAATTTATGAAAATTGGTTTAAGGTGATGCACATCATCATTAAATTTTTAGCCACTAAAGAAATTGGCCACCTTTTAGATAATAATGAAAGCACATTTTATTTATGAAGATAGTACAGATCCATATTTAAATCTGAACAAAATGACGTTACCAGGTTAAGCTGTACTTTTAAAAACTTGAGAGAGAAAACATCTAGTATTCAACTTGATTTGTATACGAAACTATACATAACAAAAGGAATATAAATCCTTTATCCCATCTAAATCCCTTCAGTTCTTTCTCTGTCACAAGCATTAATTAGCATTGTTTCATAATTTGGGACTGCACTTCTTCCCGAGACTCTTATCCGTTTGCCTCTTAGTTTCAGGTGGTGATGAATTGGAAATGAAGAACAAGGGAGACCACAACGAAATTCACACGGTGGAGGATCCATATCAGGATTCAGACTGTGGAGAGGGCTTCAGTCAGAGCTCCCATTCCACTTCCCATCAAAGAAATCCCCTTGAGAAGAAACCCTATCAGTGCTTGGAATGTGGAAAAACCTTCACTTGGAAACAGAGTTTCGCTGCCCATCAAAGAATTCATACAAAAGAGAAACCCTATCACTGCTTGGAGTGTGGAAAGAGCTTCAGTCAAAGCCACAACCTCACTTCCCATCGTAGAATTCATACAGGAGAGAAACCGTATCACTGCGTAGAATGTGGAAAGAGCTTCAGTCAGAGGGCTAAGCTCACTTCCCATTGTAGAATTCATACGGGGGAGAAACCATATCACTGCTTGGAATGTGGAAAGAGCTTCACCTGGAAAAAGTGTTTCACTTCCCATCAAAGAATTCATACAGGGGAAAACCCCTATCAGTGCCTGGAATGTGGAAAGAGCTTCACCAGGAAAGAAAGTCTCACTGTCCATCAAAGAATTCATACAGGGGAGAAACCGTATCAGTGCTTGGAATGTGGAAAGAAGTTCACCTGGAAAATAAGTTTCACTTCCCATCAAAGAATTCATACAGGGGAAAACCCCTATCAGTGCCTGGAATGTGGAAAGAGCTTCATTAACAGCGCCACACTCACTTCCCATCAAAGAATTCATACAGGGGAGAAACCCTTTAAGTGCTTGGAATGTGGAAAGAGCTTCACCTGGAAAATAAGTTTGACTTCCCATCAAAGAATTCATACAGGGGAAAACCCCTATCAGTGCCTGGAATGTGGAAAGAGCTTCATTAACAGCGCCACACTCACTTACCATCAAAGAATTCATACAGGGGGAAACCCCTATCGGTGCTTGGAATGTGGAAAGAGCTTCAATCAGAGTGCCCATCTCACTTCTCATCGTAGACTTCATACAGGGGAGAAACCATATCAGTGTGCAGAATGTGGAAAGAGCTTCATTAGAAAGCACAGTTTCACTTCCCATCAAAGAATTCATACAGGGGAGAAACCCTTTCAGTGCATGGAATGTGGAAAGAGCTTCAGTCAGAGGGCCAAGCTCACTTCCCATCAAAGAATTCATACTGGGGAGAAACCATATCAGTGTGCGGAATGTGGAAAGAGCTTCAAACAGAGTGCCCATCTCACTTCTCATCAAAGAATTCATACTGGGGAGAAACCCTACCAGTGCAAGGAATGTGGAAAGAGCATCATTCCAAAGCACAGTTTCACTTCTCATCGTAGACCTCATACAGGGAAGAAACCCTATCAGTGCATGGAGTGTGGAAAGACCTTCATTAGAAAGAACAGTTTCATTTCCCATCAAAGAATTCATACAGGGGAGAAACCCTATCAGTGCTTGGAATGTGGAAAGAGCTTCAATCAGAGGGCCCATCTTACTTCTCATTGTAGACTTCATACAGGGGAGAAACCATATCAGTGTGTGGAATGTGGAAAGAGCTTCACCAGGAAAGAGAGTCTCACTGTCCATCAAAGAATTCATACAGGGGAGAAACCCTATCAATGCTTGGAGTGTGGAAAGAGCTTCACCTGGAAAGAAAGTCTCATTGCCCATCAAAGAATTCATACAGGGGAGAAACCGTATCAGTGCTTGGAATGTCGAAAGAGCTTCACCAGGAAAGAAAGTCTCACTTCCCATCAGAGAAATCTTACAGGGGAGAAGCCCTATCAGTGCCAAGAGTGTGATCGGAGGGATTTATGAAAGTCTGGTCTCATTTTTAAAGTTCTCTTAAAAAATACAGTTGGAGCTCTTAAAAGGACCTAGAGCTGGCTGAAAAAGCTAAAATCAAGACAGGTTTGGACAAGTTTGTTTCTCTTTGAAGGAAAAGGAGAATGTTAGCCGCTTTGAGACTCCTTAAAGGGAGTGAAAGGCGGGATATCAAATCCAAACTCTTCGTCTTCTTCTTCTTGCAGGACCCCCTTTTCCTTCCTCTTTGCTCAGAGAGTCGGAACCAACTCTCTCTCAAGGGACCCTGGAGCCAAACACTTGCAGAGTTTTACTTCTCAAGCAAAGTGTGGAAGGAATACATTCTTGTTGCTCTTGAGATGTACAGAAATATGTTCCCCACGGAGGGAGAAGCTCGCCAGGCCCCCAAAGTCCCCGGATGGAGGAGCTCTGCGCCTGCACCACGCCCGGGGTGTTGGAAAAACGCCTGGGAAGGCTGCCACCTTCCCAAGACACTGAGGCATCTCTCCGGTGGTCACCCTCTGGCTGTAAATCTTCCTCAGTCCAGAGAGACTGGTAATAAGCAACCCCTCCCTCCTGAGAGGAGCACACTCATCTTCTGGCATCTCATTGCAGAAGAAAGAGACAATCAGTAGCTATAAATTACTTTATTCATTGTCTATACACAGAGAATCCACCAGCATGTCTGCTCTCTCTGAGCAGCAGAACAGAAGAGCGCACTTCACACAGAAGCGAAAGTAACTTTTCACAGTGCTGAGATTTCCTGTCTCACGCTCTCAGACACTCACATGATGTAAACAACCATTGAGCTGCTCTCTGAGCAGCTGGTGAGATAAAAATCTGCAGGGAGAGAGGGACCAGCAAAAGGGTTAAGTGGCACCGAGCTGGCTTCCTAGAGAGGAATAAAGGGAGGAGGCTGCCCAGAGCACAAGCTCTGCCCCCATCTGGGCTTTTGTCTCTCTGCTCCACAAGTGCTGCCTGGGGGCGCCTTCTGGGATCCGGTGAGTTGCCTTGGGGAGATGGGGGGTCCCAGGGCTGCAGGGGAGGGTCCCCCCAAGAAGACCCCTCTGGGGCCCTGGCGAGAGAGAGAGAGAGAGAGAGAGAGAGAGAAGGGAGCAGGGAGAGCTCCGCTTTGCAAGGGCTCAGAGGAACAGCCATGAGGGCCAGGGAGTCATGATGAGGGACCCCCAAAGTCATCTAGCCCACCCCCAGCCAGCCAGGAATCTTCTGCCCAGCCTGGGGCTCGAACCCAAGAGCCTGAGATCAAAGAGATTTGTGCTCTACCCACTGAGCTCTCCTACCTTGTTCAGGTTCATTTCTGGAAGAGTCTGAGAGAGAGAATGTGAGCTTGGTTTGCTCCACCTTGCAAGAATTAAAAGGAACTGAGCTATATTCCTAGAGAGGACAGGGAATGGGGGGGGGGACGAGGCCCTCTCAAGCAAATGCCCCTCCCTCCTTCCCAGGATCCTCCCTGCAAGAGAGGTAGGGGGCTTTCATTTCCTCTGCAGGAGCTGCCTCAGTTTCCCTTCTGGCATCTGGTGAGTTTCCTCTCTTTTTTGCCATAGGGTGCATTGGGGAGAAGTGGGGCGGGGGTGTCCCAGGGCTGCAGGAGACGGATCCGTGAGGACTTTGCTCAGCTCCTGCAAGGGGATCCCCAAACCAGGGCTAAGAGGTTCTGCTCCCCTTCCTCTGCAAAGCCAGGGAGGCTGCAAGTAACAGGAGGTCTGCAAGTCTTCCTTCGCATTCAAGAGACCGCTTGCTACAGTCACAGAAAATTGCTGATGTGTTAATCAAACTAAACCTGATGGATGCTAACCCTGTAGACACACCGATGACAACTGGTTATCAGGTAGATGATACTGAAGAAGCATTTTCTGACACTACACTGTACAGAAGTGTGCTAGGCAAACTAAACCTCACTGCTAGATGTTCAAGACTTGACACTGCAGTAAGCACATATTTGCTAAGCAGACACATCAACAATCCTACTGTTAAGGACTGGAAAGCTCTGAAATGCATATCACGCTATTTGAATGGCACTATGCACTACAGACTGAGATTTAACAATCAAAAGTCAGGCAGTCTTTGCTGAAGCAAAACAGCAAGCTGGCTGGCAATCGCTTCCCAACTTGAACCCAAAGAATGTAGAATCATGAAGGCATACACAGCCTCTGGAAAGGTGATTCCCTGCTGTTGCAACTCATGCCTTAGATTCTGCATTTCCATGAGGTGAGCACGTACATCTGCTCCATCAGCAAGTGCCATATCATGCAACTTGGCATAAAAGAACAAAGAAGCGCCCGCCTCTGTTCTTAAATGTGACTGTTGGAGACTGTCCCACATCTCTCTGGCTGAGGCCTTGTCACACAAAAGACACAACTCTTCAGGGGACACAATAAGCATCAGAGTTCCCCTTTCTTTGGAATCCTTAGCCTCCCATTCTTCGGTTATTGGAGCTGGGGGGGGGGGGGCGTCTGATATCACATGAAACAGACCCTCTTTTCTTAGCAAAGCTTCTGCATACTGCACCCAGTCCTGATAATTCCCTTTTGAGAGCTTTGCAATTCCCATCGCAAATTGAAGAGCCTCTGTCACTCTTGCACTGGCCATCTGTATTCCAAAAGCATACTGCATGAGGCTTTGCTTTCTGAGCTTCTGCTGCAGCCGATCAGAGCTTTTGGCTAAAAGTTCAAAGTCCACCCTTATTGCCATTAATTAGGGACTGGCAGGCTTCCTGGGGCTTGAGCACATACCTCTCATCAATCTTCTTGACACGCAGAGAAGATAACCTGCATTCCGTTCTTCTGCCGTTCTTCTAGGCCCAAAGCCAAAAATGTCGGAACCTGTGCTCGGCCAAGCTGATAAGCTCATCCTCCTCCAGCCGAGTCCTCCAGAATCGCCTCCAACGTGATTGATGACCTGAGCCTCTGATAAGGCTCCAGGCACATCCCCCATTCAGCAGAGAACCAAAGCAGCACGCAGAAGTGATGAGATTTATCATAGCTACATCACTATGCTTCATTTCTTACTATGCAGACAGAAAAAAACATCCTCTCTCTGTGAAAGCAGAGAGTAACTGAACAACAAAGGAACAAGAAACCAGTACGTCACACTTTGGGGAGGGGTCACTGAATCAGGAAGAAAAGGGCCTGCAAAGGAACCCTGATGGGATTGAGGAATAAGCCACGTTCCTTAGCCCAGGTGGCAGCCAGATGGAAACCTCTGGAGGCAGAAATAAAAACTTGGCCTCTGTGCTAAACAAAGTCCTTCCATCTCGCAGTGCGCAGTTAGTGTTATGTACTGAAGTTCTCACCCTGGGCCAGGAGGGGGATACTGTAGATAGTTTTCACTCAGTTCCACATATGCAAATAAGGGATTGAAAGTGATGTTCAGTGATTGGATAGTTACAGAAAGTGGTTACCGTTGCGTTGTAGTGGAGCTCTATATAAGCAGGCTGGCTGAACCCTTCAGTTCAGTTCTGTTCTGGCCTGTGAATAAACGAGCTGTTTGACCAATTACTGTGTCGTCTGATATGTTCACCCACAACTTAACAGTTAGACCCATGGAACTCCCTCCCACAGGAGGAAGAGATGGCTTGAGAAGAGGATGAGGCCAATTCAGGGAGGAGCAGAGGGCTAGCGATGGCTCCAGGCCCCCCAGTTCGAGTCAGCCATGCTTCTGAAGGGGGAGAGAGTTGCCCTCAGAACAAAGACAGAAGTCTGTCTTCAGAATATGGGAATATGGTGCTTGAACTCCGAGTCTGGGCTGTGATTCAGACTCATCCATGCTGGCCCAGGGAACATTTCTCTTCTCCTGACTGTCTATCAATCTGGTAGTAGAAGAATGCATTTGCTTTACAGGATTCCCTGGCACCTCTCATTAGGACAGGCAGAACTTGGCAGAAGACCTAGGGACTCCTTCCGATCTCCTGGGAACAGAGATGGATGAGCAAGACTCAGCTGGCCCTGAAGCAGGAAGAGGCCATGCCATCTAACATGGGAGCAGCGGGGGATTCTGGGAAAACACTGTGAGGAAGAACCTGGGTCAGGAGGACACCCCTTGCTCAGAGGTGCAGAGCCAGCATTTGAGGCAGTTCTGCTCCCAGGAGGCCAAAGGACCCCGAGAGATTTGCAGCCAACTCTAGAAGAGGAGGGAGAGTATCCCCCAATTCTCTACTAATTTGCCCATCCTTTTTTGGAAAGCATCCAAGGAATGATATTGGACAGCCCTAAAGTGTTTGCATCAGCTGCTCCTTTTCTAATCCTTCTCCCCACTCTCTCTTGAATCCTTGTTGCTCTTTCAGGGGAAGGATCTGTTAGCAGAAATGGGTCCGGATTCCTCTGAGGCAGAGAAGACTCCCTTGGACTCCAGAGAGAGGCCTCTGGGTAAGGAGGAAGGAGTTTTTTCTCTGTTGGGTCACATTTTGTGGATTCTGAAACTAATCTGTGATTTCTTTTCATCTTATTGGAGAATTCACAGAGGACCAAGAGCCCAGAGAAAGAGAGATGTGTTTTTGCACTCTAGTATGTGAAATGGGTACAAACGTCCACATTTACGTGGCAACTCCTCCTTGTTTGAAGGCGCACCTGTAGTTTTCCTTCGGAGTGAAGCATGCGCTCTTGGCTTCCCACTTACCTTCTTCTCTCGCAGGAGACGGAACGATGCCAGCAAGACCTGCTTGTCCATCTTTTCTTGGTGGCGGAGGGGAAGCTGCCCCTGTGGACCCAGAGCAGGTAGGAGGAAGGGGCCATGTGGGGAGAGAGGATGTCATGGACTGGTGGACACAGAGGAATGGTGGGAGGAACCGCCAAGGAAGGAGGGTTGAAGGCTCAAATAGGCTTCTAAGCAGTTCACACCCCATACCAAAGAGTGGCCAGGATTCACCCCATCAGTCCCACAGTGGGGCTTTCCCCCTCTCATTCCCCTGCGCACCTTGGAGATGTCTATAGGGCTTCAGGAGGGTCCTCCCTGTCGCGAAATCTTTGCGGCGCTTTAGCAGAAATGCTAAAGTTCCA